GCTCGCTTCGGTCCATTTGCCATACCATGCCATTCCCATTATTTTAGTGACCAAATGCGACCCAACCACACGTATCCTTCAACCCAGAGTCGAGAGTTGTATTTCAGGAGTCAACTTACTTCGATGTCAGCTCTTTATCCACCTCTTCCTGCAATTCCTTCCGCTCCTCAGGAGAATTTATTTGACGGAGAACCATACATTGTGAGAGATGCGTTTGGACTATACGATTTCATATCTCATTTTAAGGTCTTGGCCCGAATTCCGGTATCTCGACTTGAAGAGACCTTTCTCGCCAGGCTTTGGAAAGCTCTTCTTGTCGTTTTTCATGTCTTCTGGCCGCCTCATTTTTTCTTCGTGATTCTTGCAATTTGCCAAGTGAACTCAAAACGAATGAGTCCTATTTATTGCTTTTCATTGCAGGTTTCGGTGTTTATCGGATACTCCTGGATCGAAGGATCGACAAAGAATTGCCCAGGGTGTTTTGAAAATCGAAAAATGGGAACATCGGGGATACTCATCTTCGATCCTCAAAAAGTGAACCAGTTGTGGAGATTCGTCACTTACTCGTTAATCCATCTTAAGTACGTTGACTTCCGTTTCTTTCTTTTCATTGATATCGCAACTTTCAGCCTCGGTCATTTGCTGCGTAACGTCACGGTTCTGGTTAGTGTCGGATATCGGCTTGAGATGACTTCCTCGTTTTCCAAAATTGCTGCCCTTTACGGGTTATCGGTCTTTACGGGAGCCGTTTTCCACTACATCGTCAATCCGTCTCAAATGTTGCTTGGGTCGTCTGCAGGATCGTTTGGATTGGTGTTCGCTCAAATCAGCAATATCATTCTGGTACATTTTTATTTAATTTTTGATCGCGCTACGACAGCTTCTTGCAGAACTACTCGGAAATCAAAGTGTCGCGCATTGAAGCGTTTGGACTTCCGTTCATCGTCGTCTCCGATCTTCTCTGTAGCTTTTGGGATCAGATGAAGGCAAACGGCTGCGTTGAGGCTAATAATTCGGTAATTGCTCATGTTGGAGGAGCTCTAGGTGGTTTTTTGTTAGGATTCTCTTTAATAACTAATATCGAAGTAACCAAGTATGAATCAGTAGCCATTAAAATAACGTTTGCATTTTATTTTTTGCTTCTTTTCTTGTTGTATTTTGTTCATGTTGCTAGACCGTTAGATTTTTTGTTTGAATGTGATATATAGTTTTCTTCTCTTTCAGTTTTCTGTTCAATACAAATGTGAGTACGAATTGTAAGAGTTACTGATTTTGTATAAATTTGCATGCGCGCAGCGCATGCCATTTTACTCGACTCTGGGTTGAAGGATACGTGTGGTTGGGTCGCATTTGGTCACTAAAATAATGGGAATGGCATGGTATGGCAAATGGACCGAAGCGAGCGAAGCGAGCGAAGGTGAGTTTCTTTGCTGTTGGTGCTTTTAGCTTCATGCGTTCGGGGTGCTTTGAGAATTTCTTCACTGTTAGTGTTTTAGCTTCATGTTTTCGGGGTGCTTTGAGCATTTCATAACTATTGGTGCTTTTAGCTTAATGCGTTTGGGGTGCTTTGAGAATGTCATCATTGTTGGTACTTTTAGCTTCATGCGTTTGGGGTGCTTTGAGAATTTCTGCACTGTTGGTGCTTTCAGCTTCGTGCGTTTGGGGTGCTTTGAGAATTTCTTTACTGTTAGTGCTTTTAGCTTCATGTTTTCGCGGTGCTTTGAGCATTTCATAACTATTGGTGCTTTTAGCTTCATGCCTTTGGGGTGCTTTGAGAAATTAATCTCTCTTGTAGTACTGTAGTAATGGGGTAAGACCAAATAAGGCCCTTGTCTCACTCTGAAAGAGTGAGACAAAGCTAGAAAAGAAAGAAAGAGAGAGAGAGAGTGAGAGAAAGTGAGAAAAAAAAGAGAGAGAATGAAAAAGAGAGAGAGAGAGAGAGAGACAAAACCAGAAAAGAGAGAAAGAGAGGTAAAGAAAGGGAGAGAGAGAGATAGAAAAAGAAAAAGAGAGAAAGAAAAAGAGAGAAAGAGAGAGAGAATGAGAGAGAAAGAGAGAGAAAGAGAGAGAAAGAAAGAGAGAAAGAAAGAAAGAAAGAAAGAAAGAGAGAGAGAGAGAGAGAGAGAGAGAGAGAGAGAGAGAGAGAGAGAAAGAGAAAGAGAGAAAGAGAAAGAAAGACAGAGAAAGAAAGAGAGAGAAAGAAAGAGAGAGAAAGAAAGAGAGAAAGAAAGAAAAAAATGAGAGAAAGAGAAATAGGAAGAGAAAGAAAGAGAGAGAAAGAAAGAGAGAAAGAAAGAAAGAGAGAAAGAAAGAAAAAAAAGTGAGAGAAAGAAAAATAGAAAGCGAGAGAGAGAGAGAGAGAGAGAAAAAAAAAGAGAGAAATGGAAAGAGAGAGAAAAAACAGAGAGAAAGAGAAAAAGGGAGAGAGAGAAAATGAGAAATAAGAGAGAAAGAAAAAGGGAAAGAGAGAGAAAGTGAGAAAAAAGAGAGACAGAAAGAGAGAGAGAGAGAGAGAGAGAGAGAGAGAAAGGGAAAGAGAGAAAGAGAAAAAGAAAGAAAGAAACAAAAGTGAGAGAAAGAGAAATAGAAAGAAAAAGAGATAGAGAGAGCGAGAGAGAGAGAGAGAGAGAGAGAGAGAGAGAGAGAGAGAGAGAGAGAGAGAGAGAGAGAGAGAGAGAGAGAGAGAAAGAGAAAAAGGGGGGAGAGAGAAAGTGAGAAATAAGAGAGAAAGAAAAAGGGAGAGAGAGAAAATGAGAAAAAAGAGAGACAGAAAGAGAGAGAGAGAGAGAAGTAAAGAGAGAAAGAAAAAAAGAAAAAAAAGTGAGAGAAAGAGAAATAGAAAGAGAGAGAGAAAGAGAGAGAAAGAGAGAGAAACAAGAGAAATAGAAAGAGAGAGAAAGAGAGAGAAACAAGAGAAATAGAAAGAGAGAGAAAAAGGAGAGCAAGGAAGCCTGCGTCTAGGGCTAACCTGATCAGTAAAAAATTGACCCCGGACCGTTTTTTACGCCCCGAAACGACCGGAAAAAGACATCGATTCGGGAATACGAAACATGACACTGGATCGAAATTTTATGTTCAGACAAACTTGTTGTACCACCCGACGAAAAACGAGTACTACTTCTTCGTAGTTTTTCTGTATCCACAAGCCGAGACGCGAATTTTGGTCTGTGTGCCCTCAGTGACATTCCGATGGGCTCTATCCTTTCAATATTGCTGCTCTTTTTACCGCCGCCAAACGGTCGGAAAAATACATTCTTCTCTGCCCACACTTCACTGAGCAGTTGTTTCGCGAGACCCTGACTACTGTAGTCCTCAAAAATTGACCCTACTGGTCTAAACGTTAGACATTTTCGGGCTCTTCCTACTCCGGGCAAGCAGTATCGAATACGACCCCATAAGAGAGTCGGCAGAACGACCCCGGGTGGAAATGAGTGTGTTGACTTAATTGATGCAACTCTGCTCTGCTGAACTCTCTTCGAGACCCAATCTACAGTAGTCCCCTGAAATTCGAAATTGTGGCCTAAAGGTGAGGCTTTTCAAATTTTTCGGGCTCTTCCTTCTCCGGTCAAACAGTATCGAATACGACCCCTAATAGTGTTGTGAAAACGACCCCGGGTGGAAATGAGTGTGTCGATGCAAATCTGCTCTGCTGAACTCTCTTCGAGACCCAATCTACAGTAGTCCCCTGAAATTCGAAATTGTGGCCTAAAGGTGAGGCAAACTCTCCTCGACGGCCAGTCTCATTTTTTTCTTTGTTTCTATGTTCTAGTTCTCCCGGCCGCCCTTTTAGACGACCCTTCTCGGTTTTTTGGAAACGACCCTTCCCGGTTTTTTGGAAACGACCCCTTATTGTCTTACTGTTACATACAAGGAAGCTTACAATTTGAAATTGACCCCGGGTCGATTTCAAAAAAGGTAGACGGTATATCCATAAAAAAGTTGACCCGTTCTTTTGTAGACTCGAGCAAATACTAAATTTTTGCGTTTTTCAGATGGATCCTGGAGAACCAACGACATCTAAGAAGAAAACGGCAAAACGAAAGTCGAGTGAGACTACGGAAACAAGTTCAACGTTGACTCGTTCGGATAGTGATGATGATCTCATTATAGTAAAACACAGTAATTGGACCAAAAAAGCTAAAAGCAAGTTTTATAACGACCCGGGGTCGTTAATACATATTTTGTACATCAAATATCACTCAGGTATCCAAAACAACTCTGGGAGTTTGATTCAGAACGAACAGCAAAAAAGTAAGCACATCAATCCTGCAAGTAAGTGAAACCAATCTAATTATGTAGAATAGTAGCATCCCCGTGCGTGCTTTAGTGTCCATAATGCTTGGACTACCTGACGTCAAAAAGTTCATCGAATCATGTTCTACACTCAATGAACAAAACACAGTTAATGGGGCAACTTCTTGTCGTACTGTGGATGATCAAAGAGATAAAAATGTTGAGGTACGGTGAGAATTTAAGATGGACCTCCACACACACCTTTTCTGTTTTTACAGACTTTTTTGCATTTTTTCCGAACGACGGTTGAGTCGAGAAAAAATGATTCTAACGATGACATTCCACCTCAATGCTTACCAGTATGTTGAGCTCAAATAGGTGCAATTGGATGAAACGTATTTACAGGATCTCACAAAGTTTGAACAATTCTTTCGTAAACAAATAGACGCTGGTTTCGTATCACAACATCTGCGAATAGGAAACGTTTCAATCAGTACTATTCGAAGAGCAGCCGCCTCCGCTGTTTTATTTCTTTGCTTCGCGAAGTTGAATAGCTTTTGCACACCTGATTCGCGGACAATTGAAGAAGACTCACTTACACTGTTTAAGGCTTTGAGTCATGCAGAAAAAGCCAACGTTGTAGTGAAATTCATACTATGGTATGAGCAAATTCCGCCCTGTCGAATCTTTGCTTCGAAAGTGCTCGCTTCAAAGTTTACCCAGTGTGAGGTTTTTTCTTTTTTTGAAGATGACAAATGTTCACCGAGTTAAAACCTAGATAGCTAGGGGACAAAACGAAACTACCTTGTTGTAATCGTAACGACCCCGGGTCGTTTTGTTTTGTACTTGACTGTTGATTTTGCAGGTCGTATTGAAACCAAAGAAGCAGGCACATTGTCAACTGTCGTTCGAGGACTTTTGGCATACTTAACCTATGTAGGTGGAGTTAGCCCCAGCACTTGTAAAACCCCAACTGATGAGTCAAAATTAATTTGGATGAGTGTAAAGTGAGTAGCTAGAAAATAATCTCAAACACTTTTGTGGATTTCAGAGAGGCATTGAAGGGTTGTGAGAAACGAAAAGGCGGATCTCTCAATCTAAGTCAATACTCAATGAGCTCCGTTGATTTGGTAAAAATGATGCAAAGGGCTGGCTCCGTCACAACCATGTTTGGCGTTCAAGCTTACATGCTAGCATTGTTTCTTGTCGGGTTTGGTCTAAGAGTAGGTAGCATCCGGAATCAATGGAATCCGGGTAAGCTCAGCTGGAATTAGCAATAGCGATGACTACACATATACTCTCTGTTTTACAGAATTTATGAAAGAGATCAATGATATGTCCGAGTCGGAAGATAGTGCGGATGAGACGGAGGATAGTGCAGATGAGTTTGACGACAATAGGTCTGTAGTGGACGATGATGAAGCTGTGAAGACTAGAAGTTTGAATGTCGACTTTGACACTTTAAATGCTAAAGATGCCGTTATTTATCGCGAGCCACGTAAGCACGACGATCCGCCGTCGACTGTTCGTCTGAGGGTCGAGCTATACGTTTCATCTTCAAAGACACATGGACAAAAAATGTACACTCCTCAACTCCAGGGATTCAGCTATCCACAAATTCTGTCCGATGGTACATGTGACTGGTCCCCAAATGCAGCTATTGCACTGGCAGCACTTTCCGTTATGGTAGGCTCCACTGATGCTCAAAAAATCACCAGTAATGAATTCGAGCCCGAATACGGTACAGACCTTAGGATTTCAACAAATTCAGTATCTATTGGGCAAGGGATATCACGTTGTCTGCCTGAAGTAGACGCCGAGTTTTTGCAGTAAACGACCATTATTCCGAGCATGTAACCGTCATGGACAAACGACGGGCTTCCCTATGAGAAACGTAAGGAGTGCTTTGACGTTTGTCGCGGATACTCTCCAGTTGCCTGCTTCATTGTTTACGTCGCGCTCCTACAGGTACAAACTGGTCGACTTGTAAATATGTAAATGATTAGGATGAAATGACAAAAAACGACCCGGGGTCGATATATCACCGGACAATAGATAAATTACAGATGTGGTTTTGCTAAAGACATCATTACATCGGCCGTTCTACGTGGAGATGAACATCAAATTTTCACAATTGAAGACGCAAAGCAGTGTTTGTTCACCAGCGCAAGATGGAGATCTACTCAAGCGGAAAAATACATTTCGTGAGCATATCTTTATTACGTAAAGATTAACCAAGCCGTTGTTTTTTGAGGCGTTTAACTGCAAGTGTTGTGTCTCGTGCCGTTTCGGATGGAATTAGTGTTATAGATTGGCGAACTGCCGTATTCCAAACTTCTGTTCTTGCTAAATACAATTACACCCACTTGAACATGTCGGAATTGCATGATTATGTTGTGAACAATTCGGAGGTAACTGTTGCGCACCACAAGTCAAGACTAGCTGATATTTTTCAACTTTTAAGAATAAACAAGATGCTGAGGGGCACTGGAAAAACATGCCAAAAAGTCAGAAAAGACATTTATTGGATGTTACAAATGGTTTCAACTTTTCCAAGGCTCCTACTAAGTGTCTATCTCCTGAAGAGCAATGTACATTTTTGAGACATCGTCCTGTGCTAAATGTTCTAGAAACATTTCATCAGATTCACCGTTTTATTCAAGGAGAGCACTGCTACGAGGCTTTTGCTGGCTACGGCAGGTTTGTACAAAAATATGGTTCTTTCCCCCCCCATCATCCTTTGTCTTCTTTTGCAAAGTTGCCAAAGGCATTCCCAACCCCAGTTTCTTGGTGAGTCGCGCGCAGAGGGTGCAAAGACGCTCTACCGCACTCCACGTGTTTGAAAACACACGCGTGACTGTTTGAGGTTTTTAGAAGTCAGCTTTTAAGTTAGACTCGTGTTAATCGTCAACCGATTGTGCTTTTATCTGGTTTTTCTTTATCTGATTCCTTTTTCTGGCTCGCAGAGCATTAAATTGTCCGTTATCTGATATTTCCGTGCGTGCGTAGTGTTGCTTGTTTTCTTGTTTGGACCCGACACCCCTTTTTACAAGTGGGCTACTGCAACAATACAAAAGCATAAAAAAGACCCCGGGTCGTTTTGAACTTTCGGGCCGACTAGTCCTGTGTTTGAAATCAATCTCATTTTCAGGGGACAATGTGGACCTCCGTACCGGTGCCCAGTGATCTCTTGTAAAACAATTCTTCATTCAACTATTGATTCATCTATCAAACACTGGAACGAAGTGCACGAGAAAAAGAAACAGAAGCACCAGTATTTGTGTTCTCAATGCGATGATTGTGGAATTAGCAAGTAAGAAACATGAAGATACACAGATATTGTGAAAACTCTTGATTTACAGCCACACGAACTATCTCCGACATCAGAGGAAACACCATCGAAAACCAACCGTCGAATTCAGATGGCAATTTTTAGGAGATTCATGATATTCGACCAGATGCTGGTTGCTCAAATAGCTTTATATTGCATGCAATGTAACAATTAAACATTGAATTAATTACGATGTATTCATTTTAATCTGTATATTTTATTGTTTATTTCCCGTCATTTCCCGCCGTGTGACATATCTCCTGCAGTTGTCGCGTCAGTTTTTGTGTATTAAGAGCATGAAAAAGACTTTAGTTATTTCATCTAATATTTCACATTGGAAACTGTCTTTGTTAACAGTTGAATACCTGCTGATGTTTTCTTTTGTCATTTATTTTGAATATCACTTTCAGATTTATCATGGTTCACCGGGAAAGCGATTTTGCACATGTATATGTTGTTATTAATCCACTAAAAAAAAATGGTTACCTGACGGAGAACGATCATTCAAAGATCATCGAAAAATACCTTGTGAACGGAACAAGTGAGTTTGATAATAGAACGCAGCATAAAGAATCGAACAATCTTGCAGAAAGCGGCTTGTTTGACGCCAGAAAACTCATCTTTCTGTTTTCTCAAACAGACGTTCTGCCATCAATGGATTTTTTCGAACAGTTGCAACAATATGAGGTGAGTGCTTGTCCGGTTGAAATGTGAGTTGAGAATTGAAGATGAATGAACTGGACCACGAAAACAAATTGCAACTGGTCCGCAAGTCCCGGGCACGGTCTCTTGCCTCAGATGGTGAACAAATCATGTTCAACGAGCGAACCTTTTGTCCAATGGTTTTGACAGTGTCTCGAATGTCGTCCTTCATTGTTGAGAACGTAAGACACAAACAACTTTTTTGACAAAAGGTGACAATGCCGTTCAGCACTTCGGTTCACCTAAAACTGGTTTCGGATTTGTACGCAAAGTTAAATCGCTTGATCAAATGACTGATTGTTCGGGAGATAAGTTGCAGTCGTGCTATAAGGTCTTGGTTGAACACAGAAGAGCACTGCAAAACGTGCTCACGATTGTTGACATTGAAGTAAAAAAGTAAAATACAGAGACCCACAAAAACAATAATTATTTTAGGCTGTTTCTTATGAACAACTTGTAGCATGCTTGAGCGACATCTGCATAGTACAACCACCGAAGATACGATTTGAAGCTGGCCGTGCTCCTCATTTTGACAAAACCAATTTCTCAAAGAACGACAAAGTTATTGAGATGATTTTGAAGTCAGACTTGATTGAGAGTAAAAATTCAACTGTCACGAGAATTTTTTACAATCACAAAGGGGATTTGACACCACAAGATTTATCGAGATGGATTTCAAAGTGCGAGGTGAGCTTTCCGTAATACGACCCGGGGTCAGTTAATATCGTGTTGCAGACTTACACTGTCAGTCACGAGCATATAATGATGAAGACCAAGCTCGACGAGAACGGAAATGTCTTGAGAGAGAAAGATGGTAACGATTGGCGTCCATTGAAGATGGAAGGAGTCGCAGTGAGAGCTACCATTATTGTTTCCGTAACTTTTGATGATGGCGTTGATACTGAAATAGTAGTTATATATCCTAAAATGCGCAGAAAATGATTACATATTCAGGTGCTCGACATGACCACGTTTCGCATTGTCAAGTTGATCACTAATAATAGGGTCAATGTCGACGAGACGATTCAGTTCATGATACCATTCACATTCAAAATCGTGGACAATAACAATATCGAGTTGAGCATGGAAGTTAGTAGTAATTGTGGAGAAGAGGAGGATCGACTTCTTCAAAGTGGGGCGGCGACATCGAGTGCAACATACGAAAAAGTGAATTTGCTAAATTTAGAAATAATTTCGAACATGTCAATAGTTTGTTTCGGTTCCCCAATCGTTTGCCAAAACGACCCCGGGCCGTTTTCCGAAAAAATGCATCCGCGCTCTATCGAACTTGCGTTTCGAGACCCAAACTACAGTAATCTGGAAAATTGCCCCAAATTTGGCCTAATGTGTTGCCTCATTGCCATGGCAACCATTTTTTCATTTTCTCCCGTTTGTTCTATTTGACCCCTCATGAGTTTGCCAAAACGACCCCGGGCCGTTTTCCTGGGTCGATCCCAAAACGACCCCGGGCCATTTTCCTGGGTCGATCCTAAAACGACCCCGCGTCGTTTTCCAAAAAAATGCAACCGCGCTCTATTGAACTTTCGTTTCGAGACCCTAACTACAGTAATCTGAAAATTGCCCCAAATTTGGCCTAAAGTGTTGCCTCATTGCCATGGCAACCATTTTTTCCTTTTCTCCCGTTTGTCCTATTTGACCCCTCCCAGCTTTCCCAAAACGACCCCGCGTCGTTTTCCAAAAAAATGCAACCGCGCTCTATTGAACTTTCGTTTCGAGACCCTAACTACAGTAATCTGGAAAATTGCCCCAAATTTGGCCTAAAGTGTTGCCTCATTGCCATGGCAACCATTTTTTCATTTTCTCCCGTTTGTCCTATTTGACCCCTCCCAGCTTTCCCAAAACGACCCCGGGCCGTTTTCCTGGGTCGATCCCAAAACGACCCCGGGCCGTTTTCCAAAAAAATGCATCCGCGCTCTATTGAACTTTCGTTTCGAGACCCTAACTACAGTAATCTGGAAAATCCCAAAAATTTGGCCTAAAGTGTTGCCTCATTGCCATGGCAACCATTTTTTCATTTTCTCCCGTTTGTCCCATTCGACCCCTCATGAGTTTGCCAAAACGACCCCGGGTCGTTTTCCTGGGTCGATCCCAAAACGACCCCGGGCCGAAATTTTCCAAAAAATGCACGACCCCTGTCACGTTTACAAACCGACCCCGGGTCGTTTTTATGAGACATACCAAAATTGGCCCCGGGTCGTTTTTATGAGACATACCAAAATTGGCCCCGGGTCGTTTTTGAGGCATACCAAAATTGGCCCCGGGTCGTTTTTTTGAGGCATACCAAAATTGGCCCCGGGTCGTTTTTATGAGACATATCAAAATTGACCCCGGGTCGTTTTTTTGAGGCATACCAAAATTGGCCCCGGGTCGTTTTTTTGAGGCATACCAAAATTGGCCCCGGGTCGTTTTTATGAGACATATCAAAATTGACCCCGGGTCGTTTTTTTGAGGCATACCAAAATTGGCCCCGGGTCGTTTTTATGAGACATATCAAAACACCTTTCTTGTAGTAGTTTTCAATTTTCAAAAGAAATTGACACCGAGTTGTTTCATACGCGTGCTCAGCATTCCTCTATTATTTATATATAATTTTTAGGTCATAATGTCGCAAACATTGTCGCAGGAATTCGAAGAACAATACAATAGGATGCAAAAGGAAGTACAGTCTTTTCCAACTGCTACGGATTCTGTTGTTGAAGCAGAGGAAGTACGGTCTTCTCCAACTACTACGGATTCTGTTGTTGAAAAGGAGAACGTGGTTGTGGGTGATGAAGAGCCGAAAGAAGATGAGGAGCCGAAGGAAGATGATGAGCTGGAAGAAGATGATGATCTGGAAGAAGATGACGAGAAAGATGAAGATGACGAGAAAGATGAAGATGGCGAGAAAGATGAAGAAGAGGAAAAGACGGAGGTACGCATTTTAATAAACCAAATTGTGACCTGAGAGTTTTAAATCGACCCGGGGTCGATTGTATAGCGTAGATATTTCACAACAACTTAATCATCATTATAATCATTGTAGGCTGGTGGCCACGAATCCGACAACCATAATATGGATATTGAGGAGGAGAAAGATGAGAAGAAAGAGAAAGACACAAAAAGTGTTGTTATGAAACCACTACACACTGATTCACTTCAGGTAAGCAAAAAAAAAGGCATTGCTCGGAAAAAAATATACCGATTTTTCAGAAGATTGAAGAGAATTTCACTGTGAGACAACTACACGCACATCAAATCCGTGGATGCATATTAAGACCCATCAGTATCAAACAAACTAAGATACTTGATGGCATCCCGGTTGAGACGCTATTCGACGAGCAGCTGGCCTCGGTACCGATTTTCATCAAATGTGCTGACAAGTCGCCTAGAATCATCGTCTGTGAAGGAAATCACCGCGTCTCGTCTGTCCTCCGAAGAGAGCCTAGTGATGAATCGTTCAAGGTGGAAACTGTGACCATCTCTGAAGGCGACTTTGAAGCGACATTTGAGAAAGCTGTCGACCTTCGTGGAGCGTCTGATGGAGTGAATCAAAAGTGCGGACTCGATGCAATCCCATGGATTGTCGCGTCGTTCGTACAGCAAGTTTTCACGAGCGAACGTCTTCGAACAGAAAATAGTTACTCGGCAAAAGACAGAGCGCTGAATCTATACGAGATTCTCAAAGCCAGAGTATCCGAGGAGGAGATTGATTTGTTGCGAGAGAACACTCGCATTCGAAACAAGCTCTACGAGCAGCTGGTCAAAGAGAAGCTGGCGCTGAAATCAACACAGTCTCAGACTGAACGATCTGGACTTTACGTGTTTCTCAGTGCTCCAAATACACGGACGCTGTTCATGAAACATTTTTCCAACCTTCCCACCAAGGAAAAGTGCCACTCACACATCTTCGCCGCTTCGTTGAAAAATGATCGTAGAACTGCGAAGCTCATCCACGACTGCGCGAAAGAACACATTTCTAAAATGGTGTTCCTGCAAAAAATGAAGGATCTGAAGACTGGATGGGAAGATAAGGAGAAGGATGTTGCGGAAGCAAGTGAAAAGAACCCGCATGGCTTGCACGTATGGAAGAAGGTTGCTAGTGTGGAGGAAGGCGCGATCTTGATTGTATCGCGAGAGGTAAGTATAACTCTAAAAATTGACGACCTTTTGAAAACGGTCCAGGGTCGAGCTGAAATGATGTTTATTTTTTTCCAGATCCCAAAGCCCGAACAGTTGCTGCTCAAAGATGCCAGTCTCGTGGTAATGGATCCACCGCAGACCGTTGATTTTTTGCTGGAGGCTTCCAAGTTTGCTGACGGCAACGTCATGCGACGTGGGATGTTCCGCAAATCCGAATTCGTGGCAGTGGGAAAACTCTTCAAACATGGCGATCATTTCTGCACTTCGACGATCAACACGATGATAAGTCGTCTTACTGAGTCAACGGAAAGCCGCAAACGCAAATTGACGGAAAGTGGAGGAAAGAAGAAAGGTGCTGGAAAGAAGCCGAAATACGTCGTTGGCACAGTCAAGGGATATGAGCCACTTTAAACTTAATAATTCTGTTGACGTTTTCCCTTTTTAATAATTGTGCTCTCTTTTTGTTAAACCCTCTTTGATCACTTGTTTTTTATATATTATAGGGGCACCGAACAGAAAGGGCGCTCTATTGAGCAACTTTTTTGCAGTGCACATTTTGCGGCCTCGGGGCCGAGTTTGAAAAGTTAGGCCACATTTTCAGTGGAAAATTACTTTGAAAATTAATTCGGCCAGATTGCAAACAGAGCGCCCTTTCTATTCGGTGCCCCTATAATACTAGCCTCTACTATGTCCAATGCAGCACCGCCGTAGTTTTCTTTTGAAATTCTCTTTAGAGTTTCAACTGTAATGAAATAATTTGTTCCATCTGTCAGCGTATTGAAACCTCGGCAAAGCGCATCTATTTTGCGGTAGTTAAAAAATGACCCCTAATAGTGTTGTGAAAACGACCCCGGGTGGAAATGAGTGTGTCGATGCAAATCTGCTCTGCTGAACTCTCTTCGAGACCCAATCTACAGTAGTCCCCTGAAATTCGAAATTGTGGCCTAAAGGTGAGGCAAACTCTCCTTTCTTTGTTTCTATGTTCTAGTTCTCCCGGCCGCCCTTTTAGACGACCCTTCTCGGTTTTTTGGAAACGACCCTTCCCGGTTTTTTGGAAACGACCCCTTATTGTCTTACTGTTACATACAAAGAAGCTTACAATTTGAAATTGACCCCGGGTCGATTTTGAGGCATACTGAAATTGACCCCGGGTCAATTTCGTGAATATACCAAAATTGACCCCAGGTCGTTTTTATGAGACATATCAAAATTGACCCCGGGTCGTTTTAATGAGACATATCAAAATTGATCTGAGATTAATGACAAACTCCTCATTTTCCTGAATGTCATGTAATCGTACGAAATCTTATTATGGCGAACCTCGAAACTCGTGTTTAATTTTTAAAATGTCTGATTATATTTTGGTATTCTACGAATTGGCCTCTTATCTTCTATTCGTTCTCTTTTGTTCTTATCGTCAAATTTCAGATCCCCGTATAAGTTATCATTCAATGAACATGCCATCTGCGAAGCGTAGTTCCGACCCCGATCCTGACTGTGGTGGACCATCGAAAAAAACGGCTCGAAAAGTTACTGCGCCACAGACTCTCGTGAATGGAACCATCTACTTTACGCCCGTAACAAAATATTTGTTGGTCCTACAGTTGGAACTGAAATTCCTTTTTTAGATAGGTGGCATAACGGTCCCATTGCAAGAATATGAGGGTTCCATTTCACTCGGCGATTTATTGTCGATAATTAAGCCTGTTTCATCTCTTCATTTGACATTCCTTCTAGACTGGGCATTTCTATTCTCGTAAGTGGTCTCTCCTAGTTGATGTTATTTCACAAACTTTTTTCAGCTCTTACCCTTATTCGTGTAAAAATAATCCGATGACGATAGTGGTCGGCGAGAAAGACGCAAAGTCAGAAATCATGCAAGAAATTGCTCATTTACACAGCAACGTCAAAATAATCGGTGCCCCTCTACCGTTTCCTTATGGCACGCATCACACGAAACTATCAATGTTTGAAAGTGATGACGGCCGTGTGCATGTGATAGTTTCGACGGCAAATTTGAATTCCGACGAGTGGGAATTCAAAACTCAACAATTCTATTATGCTTTCGGTTTTACACGAGCTTCGGAAGAGGAGACGGACAAGTGCGGTCCCTCGTGTTTCTTGTGCACTATACTCGTGTTTTTTAGGTCCTTATTCCAAGCGGACCTCATAGAATACTTTGGGCAATATCGTTGTCTTCTTGAAGAATGGAGAAATCTAGTAAAACGTACGGACTTTAGCGTCGTGGCGGACAGATTGATATTCTCGACCCCTGGTATTCATAAAGGAGTTGCAGTCCAGAGGTTAGGACATCCGCGGCTGCGGACAATCCTTTCTGAAATGATTCCTCGTCGTTCTACGCCAGTCACACACCTGCGCGAGAGATGCTCTTACGTTTCACAGTGCAGCTCCATTGGGTCGTTGGGACCGGCGCCTATCTCTTGGTTTAGAGGTCAATTCCTCGAAAGTTTGGAGGGAGAGAACCCGTCTCCAAAACAGGCTCCTGCCAAAATGCATGTGATTTTCCCGGCTGTTGCTGACGTCCGACTAAGTTGTCAAGGATACATTGGCGGATGCTCAATAACGTATCGCAG